CGAAAATTTCTGCGATCTTTTCAAGTGCTTACTCTTTATTAAAACGTAACGATAGCACGACTCAGAAGCCGTTGCCGTTAGTACTCGCGGTAGCTTTGTTAAACTAATGATATTTTATTGCCGTTTTTAAATAGTTTTTAGAGTATTTTCTAATTGAATTAGAACCTGAGCCCTCAATTTTTTTTTATGGTATTGTGTTTCTGTCGATAAGTAAGGATTCAAGAAATTCGAGCTGTGCTAAAATTAACATTTTGTGTATAATTATAGACTAGCTGTATAAGATCTAATGAACGTGCACTATTCCATATAAATTCTATTACACAATCGGTCTTTATCATAGAACACAGTACTAAGATTGTCTCTAATTGTTCTCCACTAAACCTAAGATAAGTAGTAGCTCTTACCCAAAATTTTCGATAATTTACGAATGTAGGTAATTAACTTTGTAAGTGACAGCGGTGTTGTAATTTTTGCTAGAAGGGCTACTATGCAAAGTTTTGTGAAAATGAAAAACCTTTAAGTATTAACAACGAGTACTTAGGATATATTAAGTACCTACTAATTTGTTTTTTTATTTGATACTTTATTAACAACTGTTGAAAGTGTACTGTAAACATACAGTCCCCTAGCGGGAATATTTGGTACTAGAGCGCAACTAAAACAGCTGCTGCTGTTTCCAAACTTCTGGCGTATTACTCCAGATGGCAGTGTAGTAAAAAAATTAACCACTAAGCTTGCAATCAATACAATTTCTTATTTAATACTGCGTTGCTATTAATTATACAAAATTATACACTATCATTTGAATAATAATCAATTTAATCATTTGAATAATATTCAAACTATATATTAATGCCATGCTACTAGTTCCAATAATAAATGACTTAGGTCAGATCGCTAGCCTTAAACAAAAACCTACCTGCTTAAAAATTATGTTTAGATAATAACTGGAAAGAACAAAACAAGTCCAGTAAGTAGTCTAAAATTCTGTTAAGTGAGGAACAAAGCTAGGTACTTTAATAGTCAGGACCTATTGTCGGGAAACTTTGAACCATTCTCAATATCTAATGGCAAAAAATCGGTGCAGGCATTTGGTCTCTAGTGTGCCAACAAAGGAACATACATACATATCGCACATTGATAAGAAGAGTGATACTAACCAAAAAAGCTATTTTTTCAGTAGAAGCATTTGATGTTTTACCAAACAGTAATTACGACTTTAGATACGATAATATAGACTTTTAAACACTATACCCTGTCTGAGCGTTGCGCTTCGCGCTCTTGCATTGCGCAGTCGGGTAATTTTTTTTTATAACATCTTTTCGAATAGAGCTAGTTTGTTCTCTACTTACAGGGACCAAACTAGTATTCTAATCCACCATTTTTGGATTATATTGAATTTGGTAACTAAGTTTTAATCAACGGATACCTATAATATAAAAATCATTTGAGTTTATTGCAATATGTGTGAGAAAATAATTATTTAGGTGAGACTTGTCACCGGCGATATCTTAACCTACATTAAATAATAACCATAGTATAAAAGTTTTCTGCGACTTTTGGGTTCTAGTTTTTAGTAGATCAGATATTTTGATTGACATCTTAGCGTCATATTTTTCATTTCTTGAGTCGAATAATCAACTATTTAGGTACTTGTAAAGGACCGGTGTCGATTTAATTAATTTATAAAATACAAATCTCCTAAAATTATAATACGTAGGTATTTAAATTACTACGAAACTGAATTTTAAATCAATCTAAATAAAACACAACTCAATTTCATAAAAACTGACTTAAATTCTATCAAATGCCCATTTTTACGGACGACAAAAGCACAACAATGAATTTATCTAGCCGAAAAAGGAAATTTTGTGTTTGATTGTTTAAATTTAACAGTTTTACCCATTCATACGATGAATGTCGGCTGATTTACTTTTTTGAGTTTGACTGTGGTTAGACTTTCGGAGTTAATACTCCTGGTGTCGCAGGTGTTTATGGGCGACGGTAATTACTTACTATCAGGTGACCCGTCAGGTCGTATGCCATCAGCTCGTATACCCTATAATATGAAAAAAAAATAGTGCATAAATATCAATTAATGTCTGAAAAGAATAAAAATCCATACTCAAGATCTCATCATTCGATATGACTGTAATTATGTTTTTTTATAAGATAGATTACGTGTTATTTATGACGCATAGAATCTAATTGTTGCTTCACATTAGCACTGTTCAATAACATACGAATCACGTAGTCACACTCACCTACCTATGAACGATTTCAGTTGGTGAGATATGAGTCGCTTGCACGGTCGATTGGTGCTCTCGAGGTCTATACCGCGCGACAATTTCAGACGGCAAACGAGGTTCGTGTAAATTCATAAAGTGATAGTGTAAGAGAAAAAGTGATTTCCCTTTGAAAATAGATATAAGTGCATTTGGATGCCTTCGATAATTTTCCCTTTGTTGAACTTCGGAATAAATAATGATCAAAATATTCAACAGTGGTAAGTTCAAGGTCATCCAATTCGTTTTGTCTCTCACGTGTTCAAAGTACAGGTCCTCGTTTCGCGACTTATCGAAGAGTAATGGTTTTTATTTTATTAGTATCTTATTTATTATGATAACAATAAAACATCATTAATAAGGTATATGAGTGAGTTCATAATCTTCATTTTTATAGAAAACATAAATCGTTTGCGATTAATAGGCAGGCATACTTAAATTATTCATTGTTTTAGTTTAACAACAGCCATTACATTAAAACTTGGCGTCATAAAAGCAAGCAAAGTTTTAAAACACTTAACTTATTATATTAATGACTTATGCAGAGGCATAGCCAGGCAGGCCCATAGGAAAGCTTTTTTATTACGATGTATAAATATTTAAGAGTTTGCGTCATTTGCTGTATACCTTTGGTACAGCAATCTTCATTTGTAAGTATTGATATAAAATAATAACGCGAGTTGTATTTATATTTATATCAAGTAAAAAGTAGGCGGATCCCATACGCGATTGTTGATTTTATTCAGAGAAATATTTTAATTATTCCAGAATATTTTAACATACTCGTACATGCATTATAATAGATACTTCAATATAACCCACAACTCAAGCGAACTAAGGAACGGAAGCTAAGTCTTGTCTTTTAATACTTAGAGAAAGTCGTAATTACCTACAACATCACAGATAAAATTATAACATGTTATAATATTTTCTCGTGCATCGTCAGTGGTGCAAAGACGTAGATAGGATCTTTATTAAGTTACCCACGTAGTCGTTATTGATAATACGAGTGTGTCTTCTGTCATGTTTGTACTAATCAATACGGATGATAGATAATTTTACGACAATGACGGAAAAGTCGATTTGTGACGTAGAGATAGGTGTACGTTCTCGTAGTCTGAGCTGGTAGTAACTTGTCACGCGACTTAGTTTTTTTTATGACTGTTAAAGATATCTTACTATTTAATCTGGGATTAGCGCTATCACCTGATTCATGTAGGTACAAATAAAAGTTCCTTCGCATTTTAAATGAAAATTCGTTTTTTTTTTTTATAAAGTTTAATTATTTTTAACTAAAGTATATAGCCATTTGCCATTTTGTTCCATAATTTTTTGCCATCTTGTAGGTACAAGATCATCCCATTGCTTTGAAAATTTTGGAGCTTCTGATCAAAACACCGCGACAAGTGATTTTGGCAGTCATCTCGAAATATGTGTGAGGTCTAGCGTTATCATGATGAAAAGCCACACCAATTCTGTTGATTGATTCCGACCGCTTTTTTCTCAACTTCGTGTTTTAATCTCATCAGTAGTTCGTTGTAGAGTTCAGAATCAATAGTCCTGCCTGGCGATGGCTGAACAGCTCCTTCTAATCCCACCTGTGTGTTTGGTAGGATTAGAAGGAGCTGTTATCGCCAGGCACAGGTACCAAACACACAGCATCACCTTGTTGCGAGTTCACCCGGGTTTCGCCAGAGTCTGTGAAACATGACCGGCCTTTGATCACGACCTTTTTCGCTCGTTCTTGTCGTACGTTTTCATTACCAGTTATCAGCTTCTTTAAAAATTGTTCGGTTTCATAACTTCGTAATAAAGAATCACAAATGAGTACACGGTTCATTTGGTTTCTTTCAGTGAGCTTGTGGGGCACCCAAATATCGAGCTATTTTGTGTATCCATCTTTTTCAAATGCACTAAAACGGTTTTGTGATCAATTCCCAGTTCTTCAGCTACAACTTAACTACTGATATGCCGATCTTGCTAGACTTTTTCAAAAATGGCATCCATTTTATCCGTAACAGAGCGACCAGACCGACCTGCTTCTTTTTTTTATCAAAATTTCCAGATTGAAAACTCTTAAACCAAGTTTGTGCTACTCTCACAGACACTGCACTAGGTCTATAAACATCACTAAACTCTAAAACGTATCGAATTCCTTCATTACCGTAACTCATCATGACATTAAGAAAAACAAATGAAATGAAATGAAAATCACACATTTTTCTAATTTGAATTTGGAATTCTTCTTTATAATTTTAAACTTTTTAGTGATACCAAAACCAGCCAGATACAAATGGTATAGCCAAAAATGTTTTATTACAAGTTCATACATATAATGCGAAAATACTTTTTCCCCAACCTATTATGTCTGTACTTATCAGCTGCTATGACCTAAGGCTATGACTTAACTCTAACCCGAACATTAATCCATTTTGCAGTTTATCGAAAATTTATAAATACTAGGGTTCCGTACTCCACAAAGTACCCATCGATTCACGTATTAACTCTAACGTATTTGAAATAGAACAGACGAAATTCAACAAGAATTAAATTACTACGAACTATCTAAGGGAAAGACTAACGGAAAAATTACTATGACGATAACTATCTCCTATGCCGCTCTTTTCGCATAAAATGTTAATGTGTATCCGGTTTCCCCTTTGCTGACAATGTTCTTAATGCGTGCAAGTATTTATTTCCTGTTTCTTGTTGCAGTTTCGATGTGGAGAACGGGGGAGGCGTTGGCGGGGCCGCCGGGGGCGCGCGGTCCCCGCTCGAGGGCGGCTCGCCGTCCACCGCGCTCGTGCTCCAGGCCATGCCGCAGCGCCGCGAGTCATTCCTCTATCGCTCCGACTCCGACTTCGAGATGTCGCCCAAGTCGATGTCGAGAAACAGCTCGATCGCCAGCGAGAGGTGAGCCTTTCAAACATTCAAACACAACACATCCCTAAATACTGTCTCGATCGATACCACCGCGGTCGTGCTCCAGGCCATGCCACAGCGCCGCGAGTCATTCCTCTACCGCTCCGACTCCGACTTCGAGATGTCGCCCAAGTCGATTTCGAAAACAGCTGGATCGCCAGCGAGAGGTGAGCCTTTCACACTTTCAAACACAACACATCCCTAAACAATGTCTCGATAGATACCACCGCGCTCGTACTCCAGGCCATGCCGCAATACCGCGAGTCATTCCTCAACCGCTCAGACTCAGACTTCGAGATGTGGCCCCAAGTCGATATCGAGGAACAGCTCGATCGCCAGCGAGAGATGAGCCCTTCACACTTTCAAACACAACACATTCCTAATCATTGTCTCAATAGATACCACCGCACTCGTGCTCCAGTCCATACCGCAGCGACGCGAGTCATTCCTCTACCGCTCTGACTTCGAGATGTCGCCCAAGTCGATGTCGAGTAATAGCTCTATGGCCAGTGAAAGGGCAGCTCGTCATACTTTCAAACACAACACTTACATTCTTATTTTTAAACTTTGCCCTGATTATTAATCTATTTACATTTTTACAATGATAGAGAAATAATTTATTATATATGGTACCTCCATAAATAGTATCAATGAAAGCTGCTGTAATTAATAGCTTAAAACCAACAGGTGTGTTTGGTAAGAAAAGAATAAATAATGCTTATGAATACTTAATAAAATGTACTAACAAATCTGAAAAGTGTATGTATACTTACATTTATAATAGAATCATCCGTAATAAAGATTAATTTCAGCAACAGCCCCAAAATACTTCCTTTTGCATGTATAAATACAAAAGGATCAGGTAATTAGGTACTCATTGAACAAACATGTAAAAAAGGTAACACAGACATTTCCATGTCATTATTATAGCAATGGACTGCTAACACATACATTAAACAACATTTCGTTAATTAATATAATGAGGTGCCCTTCGTGGTTCGAGCGTAACCTACCCGAGCTTATAAGCACTTCTCGTCTGCCGTGTTGCTATATAGCGCATCTACGCAAGCACAAGAAATGCGTAGGCAAAAGGCGCGCTTAAAAACGCGCAAAAGGTCGAAATCGCACTTAGATGTTTAGCGATGAGTCAAAGTCTTATATTTAGTATTCTTAATGATTTACTTATGTTTTCACTGACCAATCGATATTCAAAAACAAAAAAAATATCATCAAAACCGTATCACGATTGGGATATAGAGATTATTTCCTGACGTCGTTGATTGCTGTTCACCTTCTTACATTGTGCGTCGAACATGCCCTGTAAAATATGCGGAAGATGCGGACAAGTTATTTTGACATTTGCAGACTTTCACGTGGGCCTATAGAGAACAAAAGACGGTTCGTTTTTTAAAATCTGAAGAATGGCCCATCGTTATAGCTTCTCGCTTCATTGTTATAGCGTTATAGCTAAAGGTCAACGAATTAAAATAGTAGAGAAGTTTAATTTCAAAAAAAAATATACCAATCTACTTTGCTAAGAAAAAATTGAAAAACAATCAATAAAACACACAGTTTCTGTAAATGATGCGTGTTGGTAATTTTTTTTATTTGTGTATTTTTAATTTTCATACGTTTTCTTTCTCTTTTGCGTGTTAATATTTAATTTTGTATAGCGAATTGGTGAGTTCTCTAATGTACGGTATAGGTCTATTGCAAATAAAAAAGTTGGATTTGGAAATATGCAAAACACACAATTTATCTTTGGCTGCTAAACTACTATTCAGTCCTAAATAATAAAATGTCGAACTCTAACGTTTTACAGAACAAAAGACTTTTAGATCCCTCAACTACATAATGACTTTTTGAACTGAAGTTTTGCTATTTTATGTAGAATGTTTACCCAAAGCCGAACATTTAGTTAAAAATTAAAATATATATTTTGTTCATAGAAGGTGTCCATACATGAGAAGGAGACCATTTTTTTCTTTTTTACCCCAGCATGTCTGGAGCTCGTTGAGTATGATATAAAATTTATTATTTTCAATAACAAAAAATTAAAGGGTCTTCAAAATAGTAATTTTTAGAACATTCTTTACGGGGTCTGTCTTAAAATCAAAACTAGTTAAGAGGATGAAATTTTGGTACATCATGTCCCATATTATGCTGTATTTAAACAATAAATACTGAAAAATAAAAAAAAAATCTTGTCTTCTAAATTGAGTTTAAATTATTTTGAAGAACTTTTTCAGTAACATGATAAGGAGGTACTTGAAGATTATAGGAATTTATAATAATATATTTTCCCTCTTTCTTTGCTACCGATAAGCGGATAAAGATAGAATTTCATCAAACACTTATCATAACGATTACTTATACCTTTGTTAAATTATTTAAATTTCGACATATTGTGTCGAGTTGTAAGCTTTCATCAACTGTGTAGATTATGAGCAACAATCAAATAAATATTTTGTTATTTAATAAGAATAACTTTAAACATCACATTTCAAACTGAAAAACCAATAAATGATAATATTTATCAAAATCTTATACCAATATTGCTGACAACATTAGAATATACAATACCCAGACTTAACAAAGCAAGCAGAAATTGACCCCATTGTTTTACTTAACTAGGTAGAGTCATATCCGAAATAGAGGTCACATGCCGCTTATGTGAGGGGTCCCGAAAGTTAAGTATGCCACTGTGATTGTAAGTAATTACGTAACACGTAATCCCACTTTACCGATAACTGCCGAGAGTATTATATCGCACTCTAGAACAAAAGAAAATCGCGACGTGGTTCCATCGCGACATTGGCACGAAATCACTTTATTAAATTATCCGTGATTATAATATTAAGTACCTCTGCAGATGTTAATAATAAGGGTTAGAAATCTATTCTTATTTGTATACGTTTGGTATATTTTATCCTGCTAAAAAAATAAGTTTAAGCAGCTATAGTTTTGTAGCATCTGTCAACACGAATTTTGAATCTGAGTTCTTTGTACCAGATTTTGAATTCTTACACTTAGTTACTGTGATAAACAATATTTTTATTTATTAAAGTATGATTTGTAGCTATCACAATGAAATTTAAAATTTCATAGAAAATTGCAAACTTTTTTTCTGTGACTTGAATGTTAAGCAATAATTTATTTATTAATGTAAATCGCTTTAATTTATTTAAGAAAATAAAACCAAGTCTATGAATACAAAAAAAATATTGATTAAGTTTTAAAAATTGATACTTTTAGAATTTCTTATAATTTTTAGTCTCTGAAAATTCAGGAAAATTGTCTTCAGAATTATGACGTAGAACCTTAACAATTTTTTTAAATAAACCATTTTTTTATACAACAGGGACAACAAAATGAGCATAGGGTCCATAACAATAAAGAATATAGCAAACTTAATAATCTATTTCTTTTTTTACACGAAATCTGCTGCTGGTAGTGAAGTAAACAAAAATAACATGGAAATTTTGTAAGCTAATGTGACGCCCTTATTTTATCCTGACTTCAAATTGGAAATTAAAATTAAGCTTCATATGCTTAATTAAGTCTTTTACTATTGGACAAACTATTTTTTTTACCCTAAATTTAACATAATCTCCGCAAATGAAGCAAACGGAGTCCACGTAGTTTTTACTCATTTTTGGAAGGCATTTCACCGCTCCTACTCACAAAAAATACGTCTTTTCTCTAAAATGTGTGTGCACACACTGAGTGACTGCTCTACTACTGCTTCCTGTTTAATACACGATATCCTTTTATCCTTTCTTTTGCTTTTTAAAATAACAAAAATCATATTTTTTTATATATTTTATACAATGATAAAGTACAAGCAAACTTTTTTCAATAAAAATGAGGTTTCTGGTTCTTTTTCAATGTGAATAATCTTGAAAATAATTATTAAATAACATACTGAATTCTTTTTTAATTTATTTTTTTACTGTGTATATATAAAAAAAATATCTAAGTAGAAACTTACAGGTTCATAGCATGAAATTTTCTGTTATGTGCATGAAGTAGATCAGTATAATATAAATATTGCAACCAAAGAGCATCATGTTACAAGACCCATATTTTGGCTGCAATAAAAGTGTTGTTCTGAAATGATAAATAAGTATTTTTTTTTAAATAAGACAATGATAATCATTGTATAAAATGTTTTTGTATTTTAATTGAAATCATAATGCAAATCATTTGAATAGCCCAAAAAGTTTAATGTAGGACAACGTTAACTGTGAAAAAATTTAGATAAGAAACGCAACAACTATAATAGCATTGGTAGTAAACCTTACAAAACACTATTTCGTTACAATGTTAATACACACACACAATGCAGCATACACATAGGCAAAGAGAACAGTACCCTTAGCACTAACCAATATCGAATTCGAATAGTTTGCGAGTACGAAATGTCATCGTCAAATTTTGTATGGAAACTTGAACAGAAGCGCCACAACGAACGTAACGAGAACTTAAAATCAGTACACATTTGACAATGACATTTCGTACTCGCAAACGATACGAGTTCGATATTGATTCATACTAAGGGTACAGAGCACCATTCGAAACTGGGTCCAATACAGTGTTTTGTCAATACTCGCATGTCGATCTACATGTCCTGGAATCACGTGTCTTACAGTACAAATACAAATCAAACAGCCACAGCTTCGCTCTACCATATTCGTGGGAACGTAGCGATTCATTACCGTATGCATAGATAATAATCATTTGAAACAAATATAATCATATATAATGAGGCTTCATAATGAATGGACACTGGACGAAAACCGAGATACCTTTTCGTATAAAAAACCAATCTTTTAAAAACATATCTAACTCTGCCGAGGTTCGAGCGATACTTATCTAATATAACCCATCTCTGCGGTGAAGCCTTACTCCAATATCTGAACGGTCCGTGTTTTTTTATAATTAAAAAGTCCTTGTGTAGTAACTTTGACGGAATTAAATAAAAAAGAATAATTATTTCTTCAAACTTTGAAAAGCTTCACCTCTCCTTTGTTAATATCTTGACCTTTGTAATTAAAATTATATCTTTCAACGCAAGCAATACTGAGTAATGCAATTCGTTGTACTTCGTTATAATGTTACTATTATCAACAAAATTACAAAAATTACAAATAGTACATAATAGACTATGTCCAACCATACCTTCTACAATTTTATCTCGTGTGTCGCTCTCTGAATTGAGAGAAGTAGTTTGTCTTGTTTATCGTTAAGAGAAGTTTCCAAGAGAACAGTTAAGAAGTCAATCAATTTAAACGAAATATAATATATAATTTCCTATTAAAAGTACCTATATTTATAATATTGATTTTGCACTTCAACCACACAGAAAACAAAGAAGTGATTTCCTCAAATCCCTTGCCTCTGAACTTACTTCTTGTTTCATTTATTTTCCAGGAAAGAGCTTCCCACGTTTCTGCTTTTCAATGCCTTTTTTGTTTAAAAATACCTGTAATATAAAAAGAGAAACTTT